ACTCATTATACTCGTATATTTCATTTGTGACTTCTTTGTTCCTTTGCCTATTGGGTCATACTTTATTTAGAAGTACAATAGATAAGGCAACATTGCGAGCGATTTTAGTTTATATAAACAGCATCAACGCTTCTCTTAACGCGTCGCTACATGTCATCGATCTCTCTCGCTATCTCTTCTCAGAAAAAATCGTTATCGGCACTTCTTCGAAGAAATTTAAGGGTTGTAGAAACGCAGTGTGATTTCATACTTTTCACTGGAGTATCACTTTCATTTTATTGTAGAAAAGTTATATTTTGTCTAACAGCTAAATATCGGCGCTTCTCTTAACGCGTCGCGATATATCATCAATCTGATAATCTATATAAACAGTGTATATAACTTTTTTCTTTCAATCGTAAATTTCGATTATAAGTGATAAGACATCGTGTAAAAGAATATATACGTCAAAAATCGATTGAGCGCAAGGGGTCCCTTGTCGCCAGGTCCGCCAAGTCCACCACCATCGAGGGAAAAAACGAGATATTGGGAATGTCCAGGTGAAAAAGCATCAAAATCGCCAACATGTTCCTCATCAACACGCGGCGGCAGCGGCGGCGGCGGCGGCAAGTGATGAAAAAAATAAGGAACGCATTGTTTATATAATCAACCGATCGGGGTCCTATTACAGCGATGCCGCCGGGACTTCCCGCGCCTTCCCCCTCTACCGCGCCTTCCTCCGCCCGCGCCTACGAGTACCCCCCGCGCCCCACGCTCCCCTCTAGCCCCATGGGTTAGAACCCGCTATTCTATACTAATCACCGATCTCAGTCTTTATGATTTTCGAAGATGAATTTTGCCAAATAATTCAAGATGGTTTGATGCTGACGTTCTACCTGTCCGTCCAACTGTGAATGCAAAGAGATTGTTCTCGTTTTTTTTCATTCCTAGTAAGCGTCGCAACAGTTCGCGAAAAATACTCGATTCGAAGTTCCCCTGATCAATACGGACTTCTAGACGTACTCCGTGCCTGGAAATAATTTGATTTAGAAAGATTTCTGCTATAGTTTTAGATCTGACATTCTTTAGCGAGAAAGCTTCTACTCACTTAGTAAAACAGTCGTCAGTGATGAGCAAATACCTATTTCCAGCAGAAGTTATTGGTAGTGGGCCGAAAACGTCCAATTGAACTCTTTCGAATGGGGCTTCCACATTGTATGTCTGTAAAGGAAATCTTCCTTTACTGGGACAACCTTTTTTAGCTAAACAGATGCACGTTTTGCACTATTCTTTCATATCCTGTTTAGAAGTCGCCCAATAAAATCGCCTCCATACTTTGTCAAGCGTTTTATTGATGCCAAAGTGCCTACTTGCAAGAGGATTATGTAGCTCTTCCAAAATTTGTGCTATAAGTTTTCTGGGCACAATTAATTGGAAGATCGTTTTCTTCAGATTAGGGGCCTCCCATTTCTTATAGAGTACACCGTTTCAAGAGGCTCCGCCTTCCTCTACTCCTCTCACCGCTCGCCTCGCGCGCAGTCCAAATGTCGCTCGACGTTTAGGAGCGTCTAACGTTTAAAGACGGTATATAGGGCGCTTACTTTAGGCGCTCACGCTGTAAACTTTATTTTATCTTTTTTTCGCTTAAATATATAATTAAGACAGAATGAAGCAATCAGTAAGCGCTCAAAACGAATACATCCAATGAATTTTCAATTCAGTTTTCCACGTTATCCTTGAAGTATTAGGTGTACAAAAAAGTTCTGAGCTTTAGATTTGATACAACCGAAATAACAATTTAAATTTTATATATCTTCCCGCCCTTTTGGGGTTTTAAAACAGTAACATTTAACCTCCTGAAATGCGATACGGTTTGGCGTTTGATGCACATAACCTCAAAAATCAGTAGTGTTCACGATGGCAATTACAAAAGAGCATATTCGATTTTCCATCCACTTCGCGTTTCATCTGAAGAAAAATGCTGCTGAAGCCACTGAAATGATTTGTGCTGCATATGGAGAGAACGCTGTAAGTCATGCAACATGCAAAAGGTGGTATCAAAAGTTTCGCCAAGGAGATTTCAGTCTTAAAGATGAATCGCGTGCTGGACGCCCTGAAAAGATTGAAACGGACGAATTGCAAGCACTGCTGGATATAAACTCTGCGCAAACTGAAAAGGAGCTTGCAGAACAGCTTGGCGTTACGCAGCAAGCCATTTCCGTACGATTATAATAAATAAAGATTGAATTTTACAAAAAAAAGCTCAGAACTTTTTTGTACACCTAATACTATTTTTGACGCATTTTTTTTCAAGTGGTATTCCTAATAGGCTCAGTCTACTGATAAAAATGATGAATTGCACAACCAAGTAATTAAACACAAACGAAGTGAAATGAAAAATACTTATTCTGATTTTCGGAATCTTTTATTGGCGAGATCAGAAACGTCGATTTGCATATTACACGTAGCGAACCGACGAGGCAAAGAATCATCGCTCAAGGTAGAACATCTCTCATTTTTTATAAACTTCACTTTTGAAAACGATGAAAACTGCAAAGGACGAATGAAAATATTTCCCAATTAGTGAATCACGTTGATTCTTTCCGAAGAAAATTGCAGGTATTAAAATCTCACTTAAATGATAATATTTTTTACTTTTTTCGTTCTTGTCAAATTCTTTTCGAAGAACATGACAATTGCAATTTCAAAGAATACATTCATTTTCTAAATTCTCTTATAACAAATTTGATACAGAGTTTACTTACTTCAAAAAACTCAAAACTGAATTAATTCTTTTCGAGAATCCCCTTACAGCGTCAATTGAAGGACAGCATCTTGACTTGCAATTATGTGATTTGCAGAAGAAAATCAGAATAAGTATTTTACATTTCACTTTGTTTGTGTTTAATTACATGGTCGTACAATTCATCATTTTTATTAGTGGATTAGGCTTATTAGGAATACCACTTGAAAAAAAACACGTCAAAAATAGTACTTCAAGGATAACGTGGAAAACTATTGAAAATTCATTATTCGATTTGTCGGATGTATTCGTTTTGAGCGCTTACTTATTGCTTCATTCTGCCTTAATTATATATTTAAGCGAAAAAAAGATAAAATAAAATTTACAGCGTGAGCGCCCCATGCACCGTCTTTAAACGTTAGACGCTCCTAAACGTCGAGCGGCATTTGGACTGCGCGCGGGGCGAGCGGTGAAAGGAGTAGCGGAAGGCGGAGCCTTTCAAAAATCGGCCGAGAAGTGCAAATTTTACCGAATCCTATGTTAAAATGACAGAGCAGCTAATTGCCGGGCAATGCGACCTTCGGTACTTCGCGAGCGGCGATCCACAATATCGGCATGACAAGAGTGTAACACTATGTTTAAATGAAAATACGTTTATACGTATATTTAGCACATACGTCTATGAAAATCGTCTTTTATATATAATATTTTCACGTTTTTTAAATAAATGTTTATCCCTTTATTAAGGAGTTTTTCTAGTGTGACGAGTTGAAATACGAAATCGAAATCGATTTTATTATTACATTCAAAATCGAAATTAAAATCAATTTTATTATTACATTTAATAAAATATTTCTACACGCGATTTTTTTCTTTTTGATATTTTTGTAATGTTTATATATTGAAGTCTCATGAAAAACTGCTTTTTTGTTTCCAAAACGTACTATATTTGTTTACTGTCCAAACCGTCCGAACTTCAGACATAACAAATTGACATTTCATACTGATCACAGTTTAAGACCGAACTGTTCGAACTATCCGAAATATTCAAATTAAATGCTCATTTTTTTAAACTTCGAATTATTCGAATAGATCGAATATTCAACATGTTCGAATCTTTTGTCTGAGCCTTTAACTATAACGATAAATAATGACGGAACTATTAATAAACGGAACAGTTTAACGATTACGTGGAAGCACCGATTGCTGTGCACCGCTCGACATAATCAACTGTATCTTCGTTAATATTGAGAATTTCACTTTCAGATAAAAATTTTATATTCTTAAAATCCTAAACTATCTATTTAAGCAAATAATTTTTCGATTTTAAAGTTTTCGAGTGGAATAACCCCTTAATGAACTTGGTGTAACATTTATGACTGATAAGTAATAAATGTTACGAGCGCGATAACGCACATAAAATTGTTAGAAAAATTTTTGTAAAAGTGAGAAATTAAACAATAAATGCATGCGACAAATATTACTCATAATATTTATATTATTATCTAAATCTCGTGAAGTAAAATCGCAAAGAGATTGAAAATTTAGCCTGTCTTTAACAAAGAGTAAAAATATGGCCACTCTTGTTCAAGAGTAGTAGATTTTCACTCTTTTTAAAGTGAGATTTACTCTTTTGGAATAAGATTCACTCCGAAGGAGTAAAATCTCAATCTCTTTTTTGAAGTGAGATTCTATTTACGTTACATTCCAGAAAGGGATTGAGATTTCAGTCCTCTGGAGTGAATCTCATTTCAAAAGAGTAAATCTTATTTTAAAAAGAGTAAAAATCTGCCTTGAACAAGAGTGGTTATATTTTCACTTTTTTTTAAGGTTAAATTTTCAGTCTCTTTGAGTGGGATTTCACTTCATAAGATTTAGAGAGTATGTGAATGTAGAAACAAGTAAAAATGGCTACTCTTCTTCCATAAAAATGATCTAAAAAATGTTGCGACGATGCGAGCAGTAGTTAATACATATATTATAAAAATTTGTGAAAATAAACATATATAAAAAACTAGTATAAGAGAAATCATTCTAGCAATTTCCAATAATGTTATAGTAAAATTACAAATGTTGATTGTTGCTGCAAACTTTCGTGCTGTATAGAAAGGAATAGAAATTGCGTTACAAATAAATATATCTAAAGATTTGCGTTTTAGGGCAATTTATTAATTGCATTTGCTACAATGAATTGATAAATCTTTTTTTACATTAAACGAAATAGCTTTTAGACAAGTATCGATACATTTAACGATGCTATATATACCTATTATATCTGTTTTTTTTTTAAGAAACATTTCAATGATTTACTTCATTAATGGGTTGACCTTCATGAGAAATGTAGACAGTTTGAACATAAACATTAGGCACGGAAAGAGCACCGGTAGTCAAAGGTCTATCCAACGGGTAGCCAAGAGGTTTACCATCAAGAGAGATAGCGCCACCGATGATTTCAGAAATGTGCTTATTTTGATAGTATTTGTTGACATTTGCATCCTGCGTTTTTTGTCCCTGACTCAGGATGCCTTGGAAACCACCGGCATGGTATTGCCCGCTATATCCGGTATATCCTACACCAAGTCCTTGATGTTGTTGACTTTGTCCTTGATAAGTGAAATGATATTTGCTTTGAATTCCAGATTGAATGCTGTTGAAGAGGCCTTGATTTCCCTTTACTCCAGAATATTGTATGCCATGTTCACTTTGTACATCTTGGACACCATGGACACCTTGTACTCCATGAATACTCTGTTGTGAACCATGTACACCAGCTGGTACTTCACCTTGGAATCCTACCGTACTTTGTTGGCCCTGTTGGTACTGTTGATACTGTCCCTGTTGTTCTTGGTGGTAAATACTTTGAGGTTGACTCCATTGTTGATGTTCTTGGATGTTTTGTCCTTGTTGCCTGTATTGCCATTGTTGTCCTTGTTGTCCGTAGTACTGCTTTTGGACACCGTAGACATTCTGTCCCTGTCTCTGTCCTTGACCTACTTGATACTGGGAGTACGTGTATGGGTATTGCCCATGTTGTTGAGTATAAAGGTTAACATAATGGTTCCTTATATCTGCAAAAAAAGCTTATTATTTTATGACAAAACTATTCAATGACAAAACGGCTTTGCCTCTTCAATATCAATAGTGTACCTTGATTCTCTTGCTGATTGATTGACAGAGTTTCTGGTACAACCTCCGCAGTCTGTTTCGCACCAATTACTTTAGCACCTTGATGCTGAATCTGTTGATAGTCCTCAGTACCAATTACTTGATATTCGTCCTGTTGGTAAGTTTGATACTGTTCCGGAACCACCGGATCATAGAGTACATTTTGTGATCCTAATTGAGAGATCACAACTAATAGTTGAAATGGCAATCCTTGACCAGGTTGACCTTTAGGAAGAGCCAGTCTTGCTGGGAAACCGAAAATCTGGTGTGACTAAAAAATTATTAACATGTAGTCACTTATCTATCACTTATTTATCACTTATTAAAATATTCATTATTGCAAACATCTACACAAACAGAAAGAAAGAAAAATCATTACTTCAGTAATGTAGTATGGTTCTTGAGCATGAGTGGCACTATTGACAGCCTGCTTAATTTCTTGAACAGATGGGTAATCGAAACTCTGGCCTGGTGCCTGTTGGGATTGTCTTACAATGATATTTTGTCCTTGATGAACTGTAAAACGAATAGATTAGATAATGTATTTAATTAAAAAATCATGTATGTATGTGTGTGTATGTTTGTATTATTGGTGATCATGAAGAATAATCTCGAATACATACGGTCAGTTGTGAATTGGTCGAGTTCCACGAATTGATGTCTGTGTTGAGAGATGCTAATGGGTTTGCCATAGTAGTCGTATTTCGGTCCCAAGTAGACGCGGACAACTGCACTAGGGACGTTCTGCTCGCTCTGAACAGTGATCTGATACTCGTATGGTTTATGATCTAATCTTTTCACTTGAGCCTTGATGTGTTGTTGTTGAACTTGCTGTGGTTGATCAACTTGTTGTTGCACAGCTCCCTTGAGATCGACATAATAATCGTTAAAAAGAGTCACTAATGGACTAATTTGAACTTTCTGAATGGTAACACCAGGCAAAAGAATGTCGTTGTATTGGTAAGCGGGCAAAGAGTTCTGATACTGTGTGAACAATTGGATAACATTCTTATTAAGTTGATAGAAAACTGGATCACGAACAGCTACTTGTCCCAATTCCAGAACAGAAGGAGTATAATCATAAATATTCTGCGTTTCGGGAGCATTGCCGAGAAGTTGACGTGCGGCGGCTTGAAGACTGCCATAGTATCTATAATAGAAAACGTATTGTCATAAGTATTGTTACAATATATTTATTAGTACATTAATTAATTGAACAATTAGTTGAAAATTGACCTTGGATTAACACTTCTGCCAGTTCCTTGGATGAGTTCTCCAAGAATGTTCAAACCTTGCGGCTGATAAAGAGAAAGGAAAGCGCCTTGCGGAGTAATAACATGTCCAGAGTCAATAGCTTCAATCAATCTTTGTTCAATCTTCCTAACAGTCTGGATAAGATTATTCTTGTTGGGACTGAGTTGCAGATTTTGAGGACGTCCAGGTAATTCGAGCCCATTTATGCTACGAAGATGCGGTTGATATGGTACTTGTACGTTGACGTAATCAGTATTTTGGATTGGGCCCAATCCGTTCGACAAACGATTTAGTTCGTAACGAGCCAGTAATTGTTGGTGAAGGTAATAGTAAACGGATCCCTGACCAATTTGATCTTCCTGATTCTGAATACTTTGTTGTTGGTATTGCGCAGGTGTTTGCTGTCTTTGCTGAAGTTATATTATATTAAAAATGTTGATATAGGAGTAAATTTCAATATAAAATAAACTAATCTGTTTCTTTCTCTTTTTACATGAGAAATTGTTTTGTAATTATATGTATTTGCGTTATTTGAAAATATATTTACCTGCTCCAATAAATATTCAGCGAGATTTACGTAACCATAATAATTAGCGAGACCGATATCTTGCGTGAAGTAGGAAAGTTGTTGTTCACTGCTAGACAGTTGAGCGGAATAATTAACAGGGATTACAACTTGGTTGTAGTGAACACCTTGTGCAACATTCTGTACTATGTTCTGTGCTTCTTGAATAATCCTAGCATCGAAATAGTACTGAGGAATGATTTCATACAGAGGCGGCAGGATGATACTTTGCGTTTCTGGATGCTGAAGAATGGCTCCAATGAAAGCTTTGATGAACTGTTCCTCGTTAACGTGGACACGGGCCCATGCAGCAGTTGCCAAGAATGTCTGGTAGTTTTTGGCGCTTAATAAGATTCTATGCAGGAGAGAAACTTCCTTACGAAGCTGGCTGATGGAGTTCGAATAGACAGTGCCTTTTGGCTGAACCAGACCGTCTCGTACAGCATTTGCATAGTATTTGACGAGGATTGGATTTTCATATTGATGGTAGTTGTTTTGGATGTCATAATTAGTACCAAGGATCTGCAATTGCTCGTTCGGGATTTCTTGAGTTATCTGTTGCAGCAACAGTAAACAATCTTGTTGCTTCTTTAGAAGATCTTGATCAGCTGATAATGACAAAGAAATAAATTTAGTTCAGTTGTATTCTATATAAGTCTTTGAATTGAACTCTACATAAATATTAACATTTTGTTTATTGAACAAGTATTTATATGCAGAGTGTTCATCACTAATGATTGTATAAAGATTAAATCGAAAAGTCCTGTAATATTTTACAATTTTTTGTAGTTAACAAGATATTAATTTCTAAAAATTGCCCAATAAATACATATCCGCCCGGCTTACTATATAAATATAAGCGCACAGCAAGATACAATCTTCGAGTATCGCAAGTTGTTAAAGGCATAGGGAGTTTATTACAAATGACAATGGCAACACACGAGCGACAAAAGAAAACATCTTCCCGTGTTGGACAATTGTATCTCGCCACATATTTGGGAAATATTTATATTATTATATTTGGTATATATTTGGTAAATACATGTTCATTCGATGATTTTTAGAAATTAATATCTCGTTAATTATAGCAAAAATTGTAAAGTAGTACAGAACTTTTCGAGTCAATTTAATCTTCTCTACTTGCTCATGAGATATTATTTTCTACCGGATCATTACCGGACCCAGTATATAAAACGCTTAATATTCTAAATCATATTAAAAATATAGAAATAGCAATCATTTTTTCAAGTACTTTGTAGAGATTTTACAGCCCTTTTTGATCGAAAAATGGAGAGAGAGATGAACAAATAGAGAAAGAAAAATATAAAGAGAGCATAATGATGACCTGAATAGAATAGCAATTACTTACCAGCACGTTGTTTCGGCTGCTGTTGGGGTAGAGCTGCCCCAAAAGCTGCCAGAGCCAGTAGAACGATTGTGCACCTCATTGTGATGCTGTTAATGCCGTTTACCGCATGCTGTTTATTGAGCTATGCGAGCCTTTTATACCAAAATCGTATCGACAAAGACATTATCGGTAGTGACCTATTGACCTACCGTGCAAGATTTTGCTGTCTACTCGTGATATTCCATATTATTTGGAATGGATCGAAGTTAATCGAAGGTTAATGATAATGATTCTTCTGGGCGAGATAAAGTTGCATCATCAGTTACAGGATTAGAGTCTTATAATTGCCTTTATAAAATTTTGCTAATTTCTTTCTCTTTAATTCTATTACTAACTTCATTTTTATACGCAAATATAATTTTTCCAACAGTGCAAATATAAATTTGCTTTTAGTTTAAGTTTGTACATTTTTCTGTGAAAGTGAGATCTCACTTCATTTAAATAAAAAAAAAGAT